CACTACAGCACTGCAACTACTAGATATACATATGCTCTACTATCAGTGGTAATGACGATTATAAATCATTGATTGAAATATGTTAATGCATATTCCTGAATCAACATAGATGAATTTCTATGCCCAGGTACTTCATGATTTTAGTGTATCATGGCGGAGATTCCCTTTAGCATTTTTCTTCTTTCTCTATCAGCAGTACGTTTCCGAATATGATTACGTTTGTGTTTGTATATATATGAAATAATAAAATTCAATTAAGAAGGGTGATATTAAAACACTTAATGTCAAATTCGATTCGTCTTATTTACATGGGAAACAACACAACAATATACAGTTTTTTTTTACGTAAAACACAGGTACATTTAACTTACAATTAAAGTTCAATTGTGTATTATGCATAACTGCCTAATGCTTTCCATCATTGCAAAGACGACCTTTATCTACAATCATAGGCAAACATTCATTCTCCTGCAAGACTCCATTTCTGACTAAATTGTTATATACTTCATGACTAGAAACTTTAATATTAGATTTACACTGAATCATGCCACTGTGAAAAAATGCTTTATCATATGATATATATTTAACCAAATATACATTTCCTACTTCTCGAGAACAGAAGTCAGAAACGGAGCGAGAAATCAAAACTTACTAAGCAAGCTTTTGACTTCGGAGGGGAAAATATACGGCGATTCGAGACAGACTTGCGACTGCGGCTGGATCCCCACAACCGGTAATTTGGACCTGATGACCAAGTCGACGCAGCGCCCTCGTGGCTGTGCGGCGACTCAGGTAGATTCTCCGTCTTAAATGCATTCCCAGATGTTTATTTTCCTTAATACTGATTGACGTTGAGGTTACACGAACGACCAAGTCAGTTCTACACTCGAGACCAAAGGCAGAATCTTATTTTGATATTCATAAACGAGTCATTTTCATACCAACTTTACGTTTATATTTCTGACTTTACAACGAACAGCAGTGCAAAAAGCATTTTACCCCAGACCTCGACAAAAAAATCATTATTCAAGAAAAAGAAGAATCCTCATGAAATTACTCGAGAAAAAAAAAAAAACTCTGACATGGTAACTGCTGCGTCCACCTGGCCTCGTAATGAGTGACTCGGTCGCGATATCAAGAGAAGGATAGACATGAAGAGAGTTAATGCTATATACACACATGGATGATGACATGCGCGCAAGGAGACCGTATTCTGTCGACCGTCTTTCGTTTCTGTTTTGACTTTTGGCGGAGTTGTCCGTTGGAGGGAGGATGCACATATTCGTCTATTATGAAAGTCAGATAAATTTTCTTATATGAAAACATGGACATAATCAATATGTTCTTGTTCGTACTCATATATGGGTTAAAACTAAGGGCATGAAATAATTTTGTGAGTTCCAAAAAAACGTAAAAAAAGAAGAAAAAAAGTATATATACGTAAAATGTTTTATATATATATATATCTTTACGTAAACCTCCAACTGACAATGGAATGGAACAATATTTACTGCGTTCATACTAGAATAAACGACCAATTTAGCACTCCACATCTTCCTCTCTGTTTCACTTTTTTTCTTTTCATGATCATTATATCGATAAAAACAACAACAAAAAAACAAAAACGAATACAGTCTCCCTGACGCATTCCAAAAGGGACAATAAAAAAATAATAATAATTTGGAAGCCTGTGAGAGCTGGTGACTGCAAAGACACTGATTGTCCAAGAAGACGTGAAGCTGTGAACTCAAGATGAACGACAGAACCCACACTGAAGCATTTTCGCAAAATTCCGCGATCCTTTTTTTGAACATGGTAGGCCTATCGTGTCATTCTGGTTTGGGACGTTTTATTTCTGCTTCTTTTCCATGTGTTATTTTTTTTCTGTTTCCTGTTAATTTCGAGAACCTTCCATGTTCACGTGAGGATCTTAGAGTGATTTTCCTGTTTTTGTTTCTGATTTTCAATATCTACTTTTCAATTGCTATTATTCTTTTGTTTGTTCATTATTTTAGTTATTTTGCCTTATCGTGCTGTGTGGGTTCCACAGTTTAAGTCGAAGTCTATGTAAAGAGATATAATTCATATATTAAAGATTCTATACAGCTACGCTACACTTTGGCATCTAAGGACTTTATGATAATGATAATAATGATGAAACAATATATAAAATCTTATCTACTTCTCGAAGTGAGCTATACATTTAACATTGATTTGACTAGCGAGATTTCCTTAGAAGGAGAGCGCCACATTCGGCAGTGTCATAAAAAACAAAACAAAGGAAAAAACAGAAGCGCAATTTATCACAAATAAGGTAAATCACATCGACCGTGTGAGAGAATGACTTTTTAAAGATGAGCTTTGGCTCATTTACTCATAGTAGTTTTCCTTTTCTTTTTTGGCAACGATATATTCATTATACACCAAAAGGTGTCGAGGAGAGGAAGTCGGCGGCCTACGCGGCGGCGCCTCGGCCCGCCCGCCCTGCGCCCGGCGTCCATCAACCCTCTTTCGTGCGGCCGTCGTCCCGCCCCACGTCGGACCGCACCTCGAGCTGGCCGTCGCCGCAGCGGTTCACGGCGCGGTTCTGCTCGGGCGAGCCGGGGCGCAGCAGCTCCTTGCGGGCGTCCTCGAGGCGCGGCTCCTCGCCCCCGTCGCCGCCGCCCTCCACCTTGTGGCCGTCGATCGTGCGGTAGATCTGTGTGAGGTGCTTGAAGATGTACTGCGGGCCCAGGCCTTCCCTGGCGCTGCTGGCGCTGCCGCTGCTGCTCCTGCTGCAGCTGCGCCTCTCGCCGGCCTCCTCGTCGCTCGTGTCGGCCGGGTCGTTGTGCGGGCGCGCGGGCGGGTGGAAGGCCGACACGCGGTCCTCGCCGGCCTGCAGCACGCCCACGGACGTCGGGGCGGTCGCCGGCGGGGGGTCGTCGCGCGGGGGCCGGACGTCGGACAGCGGCGGGGAGCTGCGCCCTTTGCTGGAGGAGAGCGACGAGTGCGATGAGGACACCGGCGGGTGCAGGCCGAGGCCTCCGCCTCCTGCAGCCCCTAAGGAGGCGTCCTTGTTGTGCAGCGCCTGCGTCGCCGCCATGGTGCGCAGCTGGCCTGCGAGCCTCAGGTCCAACAGCAGGCGGTACGGGTCCAGGGGCGTGGGTGGCACGTGGGCCGCCAGGGGCACCTGCGGGCGCAGGAGGGACGCCCTGGCGGACCACGGATTCAGGACATCATGCGGCGGCGGCACGGACGAGTGCAGGAAGGGCGCCTGCATGAGGAAGGGCGCGGGCAGGCCCTCGGGAGGGTGCTGGTCCGCCTCGCGCCCCTCGCTCTCCAGCCGCGGCCTCTTGGCGCCGCCCTCGGCGTCCTCGCTGGAGCTCAGCGCCGACACGTCCGAGAAGAGCGAGCGCTTGAGCCCTTTGTCGTGGTGCAGCGAGGGCGGCGGGGCGGGCGTGCGGTGTGTGGCAGCGGCGAGGTCGAGGGGCGGCGGCATGACGGTGGGCGGCAGCGAGGGCGGCGGCGGGGGGGCGCTCTTGGCGAGCAGGGCGGCGCGGATGTGCTGCTGCAGCGTCTGGTCGGGAGGCAGGCCCGGGGTGCCCGCCCGCGGCGCCATCCTGCGCAGGAGGTCGCTGAAGAAGTTCCCAGGGAAGGGCGCCGACATGTTGAACAGGTACGGGGGCGTCGCCGACACAAGCTGAGACACGAACTGGAACGTGTTGAAGTTGTGGAGGTGGCGGGGAGGGGGGGCGTGGCCGGGGCTGACCTCGCTCGACCCCCGCACGCCCGTCAGGTTGGCCTCGGGCGTCGCCATCTGGGGACAAAGAACGCACTTAGCAATGTTGTACGAAAAAAAAACTTTTATCTAGTTTATTTTGCTTATATATATATATATATATATATATATATATATATATATATATATATATATATATATATATATATTTATATATATAATAAATAGATAAATAAGTAAATATATATATACACACACACACTCACGGATATAACCTCTTTCGATTATCATTTATGACTAAGACATTATTAAATTGTCATATAATGATGTAATAGCAGACATTTGTAGTGACAAAAACTTATTCATAAATCTAATATCACATTATTGTTTCAGACTTATTATATTGTATTATAGAAAATGTGGATAATAACAAAAAATGTTTATGATAACTCATCTGAAGACTAGAATTATGTCTAAATTACTCTATTTTTGTGTGATTCAACAAGTAGGAAATATTTGATAACTTATACTAAAGACAAATGAAAATGCCTCAACTTTATGTCAGTAATATTCGGGATGATAATGCTAGCCGTAGTTTCAGATTTGATTCGATGATGAGAAATAAAACGTTAACATATCTAAAATGTGCTTATCAGAATGCATGTCAGTCTTCATGCAGAATTACTTCAATATAAAGTAACTTAATGGAACTTCACACGTGAATGCAAATGAGAAAGTGAAAGTGAGATTAATAGACGGAAAGAAGTACTCCCACTTTAAGCTATTTGATAATCTATGGCATTTGTTCTTTTAGAATCAATGTTACATACTTCAGAAAAGGATAAACTTTCTCATCAAACGAGAAGACACTTGCTCCTTGGTCATCACTTAAATAAGATTCTGTATCTCTGAAAAATAGGATGGTAGTATATGCATGCTCCAAATGAAAGTTCAAATCTATATAATTTCGCCGTCATTAATCAAACGTTTCATTTCGCACGACGGCTGAATTTGTAATCTATCTCATTAAAATTCTGTTATTGTTTCAAGTAATGTTATTCTCAGAGTTATGAAGCTGATTTGATTTACGCTTCAAAGTTAGTGTGATAAACAGACTAAAGTTGAACAGCTAAAAGTTATTGTGTGGATCCTGCTATCTACTGATGATCATTTTCACTTTATCTTATAGTGTCCGTCTGTGTCTGTCTACCTCGTCTCTGTTTATCTGTCTGGCTTTCTCTCTGTTTCTATTTATGTCTTTCTTTCTCTCTGTTTCTATTTA